AATCAAGTTTTTTCATCACAAACAGACTTTCTGAAACCCATTCCAAGTAAGACTTATATCATGAAGACGCTAGAGAAAGTGGGATTCATGTGCAACTATACAAATGTCAGTACATATGCCCGATGTTTGCATATTTACAGTAACAGGTCATAGTGTCCGATTTCTCCTTCAAAATTAGGTCATGAAAAATACAACCTGTTGTTGTATTTGTTCATGTCCAAATTCTTCTCTTCTTTTTCATCCGTAAAGTGGGTATCGTTTTGAAGCTTACCATTTCGTCGTTATTCTTTCACTTTCATTTTGTTCTATGTAACTTTTAACGGAACATTTTTAAAGGCAAATAAACTGTAAAGAAATTACACTATTTCTCAAGGTCGAGCTGCAATACACATTGTGCAACTTCAAAACTAAGTACACAGGTGTCAAGCCAACATAACTATATTTCAGCCACATCTTACATTACAGGTGTATTGGTTAGAACTAGTTGCAAAAGTTTGCGATTCGAACAAAAATCGTTGGGAATTCGACTGAATGAGCCCAACTTACTACCGGTTACTATATTGTAACAACTACAGGATCCCAAAAGAAACAACACACGATAGATGGGGGAGGGTCTATACTTTATTAAACAGTACACCAAATCGACGATGAAATATGGCAAACGGGTTTGACCCCCAAAAAAACTAAAGGGTACCTATCTCGAGTGGAATCATCTCCATCAAACACGGTCAACTTTGAAACCTCGTTTCTCCAACAAACACCACCGGTAATGTACATCTACGACCTTGAGCGTGACGCCGGCCCTTCTTACATCTCACATTAACGTATGACAAGGAAACACTTACGCAAAGCGGAGTTACAAGCGAAACAGTAAACAGTAGCAAACTCTCGCGGATTCTCGCGGATCACATTACCTTGGAAAAGAAGCGCGAGATTTAAACGAGATCTTAGAGAGAGCTGCGCAGAACTGATGCGCACAGCGGTCTGCGGTTCGACTGCTGAGGTTATGGTTACTTGGCAAACTGCATAATATTAAAGCAATAATGCTTCTTTGAAGAGATATTTAGAACATCCGAACAATTTCGTGTGTACGAAAGTGCAAATATATGGCTGGGGTCCATTTGGACCCCAGACGGTCTCAATCAGACTTCCCCTTGTTATTTTTATAGACTTGTCCCGATCTCCAAAAAAATTTTAGGAGAACTTGAAGAAGAGGTTTATTGACAAAGTCACGGGAGGAATTTTTTTTTCGACTCAAAAATTTTCAAATAGCACATAAAAATATACGCCTGGGGTCCAAATGGACCCCGTTCGGGTGTTTGAGGGTTAAGTTCACTTTTTTTTCTGAAGTAGTTTCTTAGAATAAACTTATTGTATTTCTCACTGTACAACGATGGCAACAATGACAATGTAAGCAATACAGTAAGTCTATTGTACAACTGTCAAGCAGTAAAATTCATTCATCCATTCTAACAATAGTAGTCAGTCTGTACTTAAGTCAGTTTTCTTCTATCGGAAGTCAAACCTCACAAACCTCCGCAACGTCTGTTTATACCTTTCTATCTCTGCAGCATGATCACTGGCTCCATCGTAGATGGTGAGAAAGTCATAACCGTCCTCAGTGTAGAAGCTGTCAAACGTGAGGCGAATGATGCTTCCTTCTGGTACAGTGATCAGCCACTCGCAGTTCTTATTGTTGCCATAGTTACCGGGATAGTTGGGTGACGTCACAGGGCCTCCAGAAGGAGCCGTCAGGCTCCCTCCACATCCGGTGGCGCTGGTTCCTGTGGAATGAGAAATAACATCACCAGGTGCAGGTAACGTCACGTCACAATGTAAGCGTGCAGATAAGCTATGTTTTATACAGATTTACCGGGTCTATACCTATCAGTATACACACGGTATGGACTTAAATATTGTGTTTACTTATTTACTCTTCCCTTTCTTCTCATAGACTCTATGCTTCTGACTGGAGTAATGCTTCTCGCCCCTATTCTCAGCCGATGCAGGTGGCACTGAGGGGAACCGGGACGAGCTAAGAGGGAGATACAAACTCAGCCACGTTTGAGATTGTGTTCTGGCCGCAAAAGCGCCACCTACATCGGCTACATATAAAAGCAGGACTCTAGTCAAAAGTTCTGAGGAAGGTAATAGACATCCAAAGGCGAAGCAAGGTAGCAGGGATCCTTGGTTGTGTAAAGAAAATCCCAATATCTTAGCTTCAAATGCCTTCAGGAACTTACCGGTGTATATGGCTATACAGTAAACCACATGCTCTAACCCTAATGTGAATTATTTATTTTTGTTTCATTTTAGAACACAGACAGCATAGAGGCTCATCGCAAATGTCATAAACATCTATCAGTTCTGTCAAAAAATACCTTAATTGTTAAAGTTGTTTCAGTGATGTGAGGCGCAATCGCTCGCCGTTGATGGCAAGTGTCCACAGTATGAATGTATGAATATCCAGGAGCGTATTAGCTGCCCATGATGGTGCACGGTATTTCGATTTGTTCACTTCAATTCAAAGTTTATTGTCTCAAAATCTGAAAATGTAGGAATACTTTTCGCCCACCTTGTCTTGTACTTTTTGCCCGCCTTGTCTTGTTCACCCAAACGCATTAAATTTGGAGTCTGTGGACGATCCCATCCATAGAATTTCCTTGCTGTTGCAATTGTCTAATTATGAACTCCATGTTCCAACAAATCATGAATGCCATGTGGCTGACCTTAAAAACATCTCTGATCATTGGGTGACTTTCCTCCTAACGATTTGAATTGGGTTAACTTTATTAAGACCCCTCTATTTTGGTCATCCTGGGGATAATGTACTTCTCAAACTTCAAGGCATTAAGTCATTAAAAAGCCACTTTGAACATGATGATCAATGTTACCTTTGTACGCATGTATACCGTAAACCAGAAGTTCTAACCCTAACGTCAATAGTTTTTATTTTTTTATTTATTTATTTATTTGGCTTACAAAGAAGCCAGGGTGTCCCAACTAGTCAGAGACTATTGTTAAGGGACACCCTGGGGAGTAGGAAGAAACGTTATACATACATAAAAATACATATTACAATCCAAATACAATAAGAATAATATTTGCTTACATTTATGAAATACATATTGTTTGAGTGGTAGAGTCCATGTATTTACAAAGTTGCCGACTCGGAGATAATATGTACAACTGTTAAGTCGGGAGGTGACACAAATGTGATGTGTAGTTAAGTAGAATATGGATCCCCGAAGGAGTTCCATGCTTTAGCTTTAAAAGAAAACAGTGTACGGGCCGATTGAATGTCAACTGAGAGGGAGTTCCATAAGAGGGTGGCTCTGTGGAGGAAGGCATTCTGTGTTTTGGAGCTTTTGGGGATTTGTACACAAAGATTATTTCCATTTCTGAGGGGGTATCTGGAATGTATGGCGGATGTCCTGGTAACAGGTAATAAACTAGCTAGGTGGGGCGGGCAGTGACCATTCTTCAATTTGTACAGAGTGGTTACTGCGTGAACCTTACGACGGTAAGTAAGTGAAGGGAGGGCAACCTGAGAATAGAGAGATTTGTGAGAGGGATAAGGAATCCCGTGGTGTCCACTTATCACTCTGGCTGACCGGTATTGGACCGATTCGATGGTCTTTTGATCACGCATGGTGAGACCACCCCAGACGATGTCAGCATATTCTAGAACTGGTCTGACAATGATTTTGTACAGTTGTAGTAGTATGGTCTTGGGCACCTTTTTCGAAGGGCGCAGAGCATTCCAGCAGTACGTCTTGCCTTGTTTGTCATGGCTTCGACGTGTGCAGACCAGGTGAGTTTACTGGTTAGGGTCACACCCAGGTGTTTGTGACTGTGGACAATCTGTAAGATGGTACCGGCTAAGATGACCGGGGGGATCCTTTGTGGGAGGGGGCGGGTAGTGAGAAACATAACTTTACATTTGTCCCTATTAGCCTCTAGTTTCCAGTGTTGTAGCCACTCGGAAACTGTTGCCAGATCTGTGTTCAGTGAGTCTACAACTGTGTTGATGGAACGGTGAGCTACAGTAAGAGGAGGTGTCATCTGCGAACAGATTCGCCTCACATGTTGTACATCTAGAAGGTAAGTCATTAATGTATAAGATAAGAGTGTTGGGCCTAAGATAGAACCCGTGGGGGACGCCAGCAAGGGGTGTCTTCCAGTCGGATGTTGCGCCGTTGACAACCACCCGCTGACGTCTATCTGTAAGGTAGCTGCAAAACCACTCTAGGAGGGACCCCACGGATTCCGTTAACCTGCTAGTTTGGCCAGAAGACCATGGTGCCAGACTTTATCAAAAGCCTTTCGCAGATCCAGAAAGACGCAACCAACCACCTCTCCTTTGTCCATAGCTTTTGTCCATTCGTCCACAAGTCGGACCAGTTGGAGAGTAGTGTTGTCGTACGCTCGAAATCCGCTTTGGTGTTTTGTCAGCATTGGGCGAATGTGGTCATTTAAACGTTTGTTTACAAGGTTTTCCAATACTTTGGGGATACTGTTCAGAAGTGATATTGGCCTGTAGTTGTTGAGGGCATGACGACTACCTCCTTTGTGGATAGGTGTCACGTTTGCTTCCTTCCATCTGGAGGGGACTTGCCCGAGTGAGAGCGACATGTTAAACAGGTGCGTTAAGGGTCGAGAGATGGAATCCGCTACCCGACGCAAGAGGTTAGGAGTAATGTCGTCTGGGCCGCAGGACTTTCCAACTTTAAGGCTGAGAAGTTGCTGGCGGACTTCGTCCACTGTTACCTGCAGTGATTCCAGGAGTGTTTCAGGAGAGACGGGTGGGACAAAGGCAGAAGAAGGATCATCTCTGCCGGGTAAGTCGGTCTGCTGGACAAAAAAGTCATTAAGTGCTGTAGCCTTTTCTCTAGGTGAGTCAAGGATGTTATTTCCCAGTTTAAGTGCTGGAACGCCAGTAGAGGCTTGTCCTAGAACTGTCTTGGTGTACTTAAAGAGGCGTCGTGTGTTTCCGCCTTCGACGTCTTCTAGGACTTCCTTGAGGTAAGTGGCTTCAGCTCTTCTTGTTAGAGCAGTGACTAGGTTTCGTTGGCTCCGGTAGGATGACCAAGCTTCTGCTGTGTTCTTCTGCTTGGCTTTAGAGTGTAGGCGATGTTTTTTACGGATCGCACTTACGATTTCTTTGTTGCCGTTAATCCAGGGTTTTGCAGTTTTTTTGTGTTGGGACAAGTTTGTGGGGAATATGCTTTTTACAGAATTTAGGGGAACATATTATACCAGGAATCCCATACATCATCCATTGAATCATAGTCAAAGTTTAAATTCCACGGGGCATTATTAATGTTTTCACAGAGTGTTTCGAAATTTGCTTTTTTATACAACCAGACAAGCCTTCTCCCACAGGGCCGTGTAGCTTTAAGATTTAATATAGCAAAGGTTGACAAGTGGTCCGAGTCCCCGAGGGGTGCCATGGTGCCGGATTGGTTGCACATCGCTGGGTGGGAAGTGATGATCAGGTCTTGTAGGTTGCCACCACGGGTAGGCTCAATAGTTTTATTACCTTCGCCAAGAAGGTTATGTTTTCGTAGGCGTTCGTGTGTCTGTGTGTGTGTGTGTGTGTTTGTGTGTGTGTCAGCACGATAACTCAAGAAGGCTAAAATGGATTGTCTTGATATTTGGTAGGTGAATAGGTCTTCATGAGACGTGGAACTGATTAAATTTTGGGCCCCTAGCGGCTTGTTATGGTACTGCAGCTGAACTTCCGGTTTTGATATCTCGTGATCTAGACATGCTAGGGTGACTAAATTTGGATGGTAGGTAGCTCTTGTGCTGGGGAAGAAGTGATGTGAGTTTAGCCTCCCTAGCGGCTTGCTCTGGAACTGCAGGGGCGTTAGTTGAAAAATATTTAAAGGCGGATAACTCTAGAACCGATTGATGGATCGTCGTGATTTTTGGCATGAAGGTAGCTGAAGGGGTGCTTAACATAATAATATTATAATTATGCATATATTAATGTAATTTGCATAATTAATGAGGAAATTCTATAAATCAGCTGGATTCCATGATAGGACTATTCAAGCTTGTGACATATGTAATTAAGAACGGCAGAAATACAGGCAGATATCGATTATGCAAATGAAGACTTAATTTGCATAATTAATGAGAAAATGTTATATTTACATAGTGGTAGCTGCCTGGAATTTCATACTTGGGATATTTGAAAGTTATGTGAAGGTGAACATAATTAAACATAACTTATTCAAATAAGGACCTTATTTGCATAATTTATGAGGAAATGCTATAATGGCATTCTTTGATAAGATAAGACTGCCTTCTGGTGTAGAATATGTTTAGCAGATATAATTGATGCAAATATAGGATCCTATTTGCACAATCAGGGGGATTAATCTATAATTTCTTACTCATAAAGGCTAACATCATTTGGCGAAGGTATGAGATCGTGGAACTCTAGTTCTTTATATATTACCTCCACAAGTTGGTGTGGCACCACTCCAAGTCCCGTTCGGCTGGCAGGTTATATTAGCAGCCCCCCTCAGCGGATACCCGTCCATACAGGTGTACCTGACTGTCTGTCCTGATGTAAAGTTACTGTTGTTATCCCTGTTCCCATTGGCCGGCACACCGGGATCCCAGCATTGACCTGCAGTACTGCCTGGAACAAAACAATGTAAAGGTTTGGATGTCCTTCCTTCGTCATTTATCATTGATCTACAATTATTTGTACATTTGCATTATTTTATTTATTAATGCTCCACTTTCCATACATTACATAGATTACAAATTATAAAAGTCCTATTGTGTATACCAATGCAAATTACCTTTAGTTATTACCTTCGCCAAGAAGGTTATGTTTCCGGTAGCGTTTGTGTGTATGTATGTATGTATGCATGTTTGTGGTTTAGCACGATAACTCAAGAAGCTTTTAATGGATTGGAATGAAACTTGGTAGGTCGGTAGGTATAATTAGATTTTGGGCCCCCTGGCGGCTTTCCTAGGTACTGCAGCAGAACTTCGGGTTTCGATATCTCGTGATCTGGACATGCTAGGGTCACGAATTTTTGGTGGTAGATAGCTCTTAGAATAGGAAAGAAGTGAAATGAGTTTGGGCCCCCTAGCGGCTTGTTCTGGAACTGCAGGAGCATTTGTTGAAAAATTTTCGAAGGCGGATAACTCAAGAACCGGTAGACGGATTGTCATGATTTTTGGTATGTAGGTAGTTTAAGTGATGCTTGACATAATCGGATTGCAATTATGCAAATCATGAGCTAATTTGCATAATTAATCAGGAAATTCTATAAATCTGCTTTGTTCGATTATAGAACTATGAAACACTTGGCATCTACTTGAGAACGAGAAAAAACGTCTGAGGATATAGATTATGTAAATGAGGATCTAATTTGCATAATTAATGGAATGTTTTTATAATTTCATAGTTGTGACTGCTGGGAATTTCATACTTGCCACATTTGGAAGTTAGGAGAAGGTGAACGTCAATAAACATAATTTATTCAAATCTTGACCTTATTTGCATAATTTATGAGGAAGTGCTATAATAGCCTTATTGTTAAGATGAGGCTGTCATTGGGTGGAGAATATGATCAACTTATATAATCCATGCAAATGAGGCTCTTATTTGCAAAATCCATGGTTGAAATTGTATAATTGGTCAACCGCTAGGGTTAACATCATTTTGCGAAGGTATGAGATCGTGGAACTCTTGTTAATCATGCCAATTGAGCGTCATTTACATAAGTTGCAATTTGTTCGCATCGTCTGGACCCATCATGGACTAATCATATACCAAAAACTGCCACAAACACATTTCATACTAACCAGCATACTAAATATGATATCATTGACCTTGTTGATTTTAGAAGTGTAACCAAAGATCTTACTTGTGTAGTTGAACTGGAACCCCTGACGGCTGACACTCCTATCAGATGTAAACCTCAGGAACAGCGTGTTGGATGTGCTGATGATGGGGCTAATTTGCGATCGGTAACCGGTTAACCTAGACATTATGGAATAATAAGGAAAATCAATATTTGACGCACAAACACGATGGTCAGATTTGGGCCCAAAAGTCCCACTCCGCTACTATGGAGATCGAATCCCCCGAACCCGCGAATCTTGTTCGATATGACGTCATTCGAATAGAGCGGGCGTTCGATCTGGGGTTACCCGCGGTCATTTACAGTAAAGCCGCTACAACCGGCTACTTCAAGCCCTTTTTTACTTGGGAACCACGGAACAGGAAAAATCCACCTTTCCACAAATATGAACCGTTTTCAAAACATTACATCTATGCCGTGATTTTATTGTGGATATGTAACATGTAACGAAGCTACTGCCGTCATCGTGGGTGACCTTGAAGGTCAGAATTCTTGTTGACGCTGTTATAAAATCCAGGTCCCCATATCCAAGTGTCATAGCACGCGTGCAAACATGGTATTTTAACCATTCCCAAAAATCACTCAAATTACCTCATTGAGGGCTTGTTTGGAAGAGCAACGATTTCCGCAGATTTCTGTCTTAGGGATTTTTAAAATATGGCCGCGATTATGAATTATCGGTATTTAAAGTTAAAACACTGCGTTTTTAGCTCTTCTTTTGACTGTAAGTCGAGTTTTAGTTAAAAAATAAAAAAATCCTAAGACAGAAAGTTTAAATTTACTGTAATATTTCTGAAAAAATCCAAAAATCTAACCTTATTTTCAATTTTCGGGGCCTCTTAAAATCAGTTGTTTGGTTCTCGTGAACCCTTTTTGAAATCCGAAATTGATCTCATTTGAAAGCAAATGTACACAAAGTGGAGCAAAGGCAGTGCAAGAATAACATATGAGGTAAACAAAATCACTTATTACATTTTATTTTGACGAGTATTTACTCTCCAATTACTTTTGTTTATTTTCAAATTTTACCCGTTGCCCCCGGGCCGGCCTGGGACTCCCGCGCGGCCACGTTCGAACGCGTTCTGTAACCCGATACCTCCCTAGTAATGCGACTTTTAGCCTAGCAACCGACCGCCGTGAAACTATTGTTATATTGCCAAGTTTAGGGTAGTTATCGTTAGGCCACAGCAAGTAAATTTTATGGATGACATCCTCCGCAGACTCCAAATCCAATGCGAGCGGGCGAAAAAAAAACAAGGCGGGCCGAAAAAAACAAGGTTCCTACAATGTAAAATTTTGACTCAATCATTGTACAAATGGTTTTGACTCAGTAGGAACCTCACATATACACAGCCAGCATCACATATCACTGCATCAAATTAAGAAACAAAACATTAAATCTGAGCCTTTTCTTGTCTCCTCTCTTCCTAGTTATCTGCCATCCACCTTCCAGCATGGCAACAGACATCTTTGTCCATTTCGGCATGTTGACCACTGTCAGAGTGCAACAAAATTTCTTGTTTTTTTTTCCAAAATCAGACGAAAATTAAGGCGCGCGCGGATGTCATCCATAAAATTTACTTGCTGTGGCCTTATGAAGAGTAAATTCAAGCGTGTAGAGTAGCTTGAATACCCCATGTTGATTGGGCATCATTATTACTTCGTGTAGATTTGATTCAAGGAACATAAAAGGTATAATTTAAGTCCTTATCATGGGTCATTTATGTTTTTCCGATCTGATTAGAAGTTGTAGTTCCAGTGAGATGTTTATTTTTAACCTGACTAATACCTTTGTTGTCAGATGGCGCAAAGCCTTTACAGTTAACATTACCAAATTAAGAATCAGTTCGCACAAAGCTGAAAATAGAAAAAGGTGGCTATAGTCATATACCAGTTACCGGAGAAAAATGTCCCTCGTGTCAAGAAACTGTTGAAGATGAATATTAAATTCTTAATGACTAATTTGCCTATACTACAGATAAACAAAATGAACGAAACACATGTTAAAGCTAGTAAACCTTTCCCAAAGACAAACACAGATATTTTTAATGTACTGAAGTCATACCCCCGACCCCAAATATATATATTTTGATGTTTTCAATATGTCTGAACGATTGTTATGTGATATTTTACTTAGAGGATTACCTGATTTATACTATGATACAAACTGTAATATCTTGCTAACCACTCAAACTTATATTGTTGACACCAAACGGTTTGTACTCGATTGATTTATTATATAGCCTACTAAACATTTCTTTGTACTATTTAACGACCCATCCCACCCACTTGCTGTTCTCTGTTTTTGTTATGTATTGTAATTGTATTCTATGTTTGGTGGTGAGGCTAAAATTAGCTATAGCTAGAGTACCTCACCACCTTGTCTTGTATTGTCCTTGTTGAATTTGCAAATAAAAAAAAAATATATAAATATATATATGTAGTGCCTTACAAAATTTAGAAAGTACTGTAAAACGCGTAACACACATCTTGTCAATATGACGTTTAAGTTCATTTTTTTTCTGAAGTAGTAGTAGTAGTAGAATAAACTTATTGTATTTCTCACAGTACAACGATGGCAACAATGATAATGTGAGCAATACAGTAAGTCTATTGTACAACTGTCAAGCAGTAAAATTCATTCATTCATTTTAACAATAGTAGTCAGTCTGTACTTAAGTCAGTTTTCTTCTATCGCAAGTCAAACGTCAGAAACCTCCGCAACGTCTGTTTATACCTTTCTATCTCTGCAGCATTATCACTGGCTCCATCGTAGATGATGAGAAAGTCATAATCGTCCTCAGTGTTGAAGCTGTCAAACGTGAGGCGAATGATGCTTCCTTCTGGTGCAGTGATCGACCACTCGCAGTTCTCATTGTTGCCATAGTTACCGGGATAGTTGGGTGACGTCACAGGGCCTCCAGAAGAAGCCGTCAGGCTCCCTCCACATCCGGTGGCGCTGGTTACTGTGGAATGAGAAATAACATCACCAGGTGCAGGTAACGTCACGTCACTATGTAAGCGTGAAGGCAAGCTATGTTTTATACAGGGTTACCGGGTCTATACATATCAGTATATACACGATATGGACTTTTAAGTATTTAAAAATATTGCTTTTACTCGAGCTCTTTCCCTTTCTTCTCATAGATCCTATGCTTCTGACTGGAGTAATGCTTCTCGACGCTATTTTCAGCCGATGCAGATGGCACTAAGGTGAACCGGGACGAGGGGAGATACAAACTCAGCCATGTTTGAGATTGTGTTCTGGCCGCAAAAGCGCCACCTACATCGGCTACATATAGCGGCGAAAAGCAGGATTCTAGTCAGAAGTTCTGAGTAAGGTGTCTGATAGACATCCAAACGGAAGCGAGGTACGACGAATCTCTGGTTGTGTATACGAAAATCCCATTATCCTAGCGTCCAATGCCTTCAGCTACTTACCGGTGTACATGGTTGTAAAGTAAACTACATGCTCTAACCATAAAATAAATTTAAATGATTTATTACTTCCATAAACAATGGTGGTGTTGTTTTTGGCGTATCTGTGTGTGTCTGTGTCTGTGATTGTGTGTGTGTGTGTGTGTGTGCGTGCGTGTGTGTGTGTGTGTGTGTCTGCCTCACGGTGTGTGTGTGTGTGTGTGTGTGTGTGTGTGTGTGTGTGTGTGTGTGTGTGTGTGTGTCTGCTGTGTGTGTGTGTGTGTGTGTGTGTGTGTGTGTGTGTGTGTGTGTTGTGCTGGTCAACTTAAGTAATGACCCTGTTATGGCTTGTCTGCGAACCCTTTCATGCCATGTCAGTACTTATTGGAAGGGACTTTAATGCTATGATAGGGGGTATATTTACTTTAACAACACCAAAAAACAAATCGTAACAAACAGTATGTTGTTGATTTTATCCATCAACACAAATTTTTAATTTGTAACACCTCCTTTCAGAAACCCAAGAAAAAGCTGTGGTAATGTAACTTCGCACAGCTTGACTACTGTCTCTACAGAAGGATGTGAAGAAATAGCGTCAAGGACTGTCAGGCGTAAAACTCGTCCAATCCCATAGGAAGTGACCACAGTATCGTATCCACAATACCCCTAACTGTCTGTGCCTCCAAAATTCCTTCTCGCAAAAAAAGCTGAATTTAGGAGCCATAACAAAAAATGAAATCCTAGTTATTAAGATCGACATTTCTATTTCTCCCACTGAGCGTCCAGAAAACCAAAGGTCATACAGCGAATTTATGAGAATTTGCAATGAAATCTCAACAGTTCCCCCGTAAACAGCCCGGGGACACCGACCCAGTGGATAGTCCTGAAGTTTCCCTGGCAAGACAAGCCACTCTTATTTATTTATTTAAATTGCAAACAATACAGTGCAATACAGTGGAAGCCCTGGCAGCTGAGCTGATGTCGGGCCCCACATTGTGAAATACATACATACATAACACAATAAAGTAACGAATCACATACCCTGCAATCCATAACCTAGGCTAATGCATTGTATACAAAAAAGTAATAATAAATTAGTATGGTAGGAGGCCAGAGGTCATTCAAAATATATAATATTTACAAACATATATTATTTTCAATATTTACAATGTTGTAGGAATAGATGGAAGGACTAAGAGTTATGTAATTAGAATCGGTTTGTTGATGAAATGTAAGTGTGAAGAGCGGCCGAAAGGTTTTGATCTGTAAGAGGGTCGTGACCTGGGTAACCGTTGAGAAGGATGTTTGTAGAGAGAGGTCGATCTGTCAGGCGACGTACTTCGGTGGCAAGTATTTGCCGTGCGTCCTCGTACAGAGGGCAGCTGAGGAGAAAGTGTGCAACCGTCTCAGACGTGGCTCCACAGCTGCAGCTCCGAGAGGTGAGTTTGAACTTGGCGAGGGTGGAGTTGAGCTGGGACCAGTCAAGACGTAGTCTCGTGGTGAGGATGTTGTTCTGTCGGTCACCTAGCCTTCGGTACTTCTGATGATGGCGGGTGGACAGTATGTGGGCCCTGCACCTCTGTCTAAACTGGCTGTAAGAGGCAGATTCCCTCACCTCCGACGGGAGACTATTCCAGAGTCGCGTAGTGTACGGAACGAAGCTGTTCCTGTAGGTGGCCGTTCTGCAAAAGGGCACGTGCAGGTGTGCGTCGTTACGAAGCCGGACTTGGAGTTGTCTTTGGCTGTCTCTGGTGGTAGGGATCAGCACCTGAAGGTGGGGAGGAACTGAGCCAGATACTAGTTTGTACATGATGAGTAGTCTGTTGTAATCTCTTCTAGCTGCTAGGCTGTACCACTCTAGCTCTTCTAGTAGCTTTAGTCGAGGTGTACGAGCCATAGCACCTGAGACAAGCCGTCCTGCCTGATACTGGACTTGCTCGAGTGTCTTACAGGCTGTGGTACCGATGTTGCTGAACAGGACTGAGGCGTACTCCAGCTTCGTGCGTACAAGGGTGTTGTAGGCAGTTTCCAGCGCTTCACGAGGCAGTTTTCTTTGCAATTTGCTGAGTAGGCCTAGTACCTTGTTTGACTTGCTGGAGACATTTTCAGCGTGTTCTTTCCACCGCAGTGTGTAGTGCATCGTGACTCCTAGATGTGTGTAGGTAGTTACTTCTTCAACCAGTTGGTCGGCTATGTAGATTGGGGGGAGCTTGACTTTGCTTTGGGGAGATCTTATACACAAGCCACTCTTCGTTCTTCTGTCATCATCTTCTGTAAATAAAGTCCAAGCTCAGCCCAGACCCAACTTAAAAAGACATGATTAGAGCACAGACAACAGAATTAACAGAATATTTTAAACCTTTGAAGTATGCTCTGAATGTATCACCTAAAAAGTTGTAAATTGATCCGCGAGTTGGCTGGAAAGATATATGGAGTCTGGAGTCATATTTGTCCAGGGGGAAGACAGACTTAAACACACAACACGTGGAAAAACCATGTTAGGCAGATATCCAAGAACTAATAGAATGACAGAAAGCCAGGAGTCACGACCGGTTGTTCTGTCCGTTTCAAGTGTACTCTAGGATATAAATGTATGATAGCGATTTCCCACGAAAACCGGCCGGGGACCCGTATGGCGCAAAAAAAGCGCGTTGACGTTTGTTAGGCGAGCGAACACTCCGAAGACTTTAAAAACGAAACAGACTAGGGAAACAAATATCATTCGGCCCGAATTTACCGACAACAACACATATGAATACGTACACACAAATGAATCAGTGTGTGTGTGTGCACATACTCATGCATGTGTAAACAAATCTACAAATGTAAGTAACACCCAACAGATTAATTTTGGACAAAATATTGCACTTTGGACAAATGTTTGTAGCCCTTTACAGCTCATACCTACAAAGTTCATATTTTGTGAAAACCTTCCCTGGCACCTAACGAATCGTAATGACACCCAGTGGGGGTCGTCACGCGTCATTTAAAATTTGAAAAATCTGAAGATTTTCTGGAATCGGGGCATCGGGGGGCTCCTGACCTTGGCGTGCATTCGTCAGAAGCGTAAGCTGGTTAGGAGCAGTCCAGGTGACCCCAAACACACCTGGTAACCCTCACCTAGCATCAGCGTGCTTAAATAGTCATGTACATCGTAGAACAAGAGATATCTCATTTGGAGCCCAGGAGACCAGCCAGGATACAAGGATAAAGGAGTAACGAGCGGACCAATGTGACTGAGGGCTGACGGCGTCTCAGTTGGGGAAGCCAATTTAAAAGCAGCCTCTTTTTCATCGTCTATCAGTGAACTCACTACACGTCCCTCTGGGCGTTTGCTCCGGACTTTCTGCCCATACCTTTAACCCTTTCCCGGAAATCGCCCAGTCAGTTAGGATAGGGTACTGTTGACATGAAAAGTAACCTGATGTTAGTTAATTGTAACCCTCTTTCACATACAAGCCTTTTCTTATACATATTAATAGGCTTAGGATAGAAATTTATAGGACAGTTGTGTGTAGACACCAGTTTCATGTATTGGAAATTTAGTTGTCTTCTGTGAGGAAAATGTTGCGTACTTTTGACCTTAAAAAACATATAATGTAGGGTGGCAGCAACGTTCTTCAAATATTGATAATCAAGAAATTATATCAATGTGACTCGATGATATATTCTTTCAAATTATTAGTCAGTAGAATGGGCATGATAATGCTTGAGTCTAATTGTCCTCACACCTTTTCTGTGAGGCGTAGCAAGCCATTTTAATTCACTGTAAATTGTAGCCAGTGGCTTCAATTCTATATGTCTTTCATAACAGTGTCCTAGTTCAGGAGACTAGTTTTGCCATGAAAACAAGAACATCCTAAAGAAGTCACTTCTAAAGCCTTATACATTACAACAACTTGTTGCCAGCCTCCCTGAATTTACCGTTAAGCATTGCCAAAATCCCCCATGTGTTAACAGCATGCATTCCATGCAGCCCTCTCGCATGTGATTAATAAACCATTAACATTACATGTTGCAAGGATGTACATGTACCTTCTGAAGATCCTGTTATTGTGCATGTGTACTGATGGATTACAGCAGCCTGGTTACCAAACTTATTTTAGCTTCTGAGTTTTATTCGTCCTCTCGAATTGGCTTGGACTACACTACAAGAAAGGATTCATTAAATGACATATCAATAATACATCCAAGCAGACGGAAGCCAAGTTGTCAGGCTTGCGATGTCAGGAAAATGTTTTGTTTGAACTTAATGTCAGGGGCGACATGCAAAGTTTTAGATGTGGGCAGAATACTAGCTACTGTAAATGCCTATCGCTATTACATGTACCTATCAGTCATAAATTGCCCAGAAACTTAAACGGAGAGGAAAACTCATACAGCAGCAAGATGAAGAAGACCAAGAACATGCCACACTTCAGGAAAGGCTGATGGAGTTGTGCTACAGAGCCAAAACACCATGGGTGTCCTCCTGGCGATGTTTGTAAAGCCATCACCGTCTAGAAGTCAGGGTACATAGAGAACTCTCACCAAAGAAAGATGATTTGATGCAAACATGCGCCCAACAAGCTGGACCTATGTATCAGCTTTTAATGTTAGCCTGGGTATAACATAAAGCCCAAGCATACATGTAAACAACATATACACATGTATTCTTGATGCTATAAAACATATAAATTTTACTAGTTAACTTTTTAGTGCATGGTGTGTTATACACAACTGCACCAAAAACGTGGACAAATTACTGCCACATTCATGATTTATCACCGGGACAAACATACTTCAGATCAGATCAGATTAGAATAAGAATCTTAAAACACTTTTCATCTAGGTATAGGTATACAAAGATAGGATTTGTGCATTGTCACCATCAGTTAGGATGTCATACCTCCTTTCCAAAAGTCATCCAATATGCAAGGAGTTTATATACAATGTACATGTCTCTAATGTCTCTTCTGGCTATTGTTCTGCACTGAAGGGGTAGTTCTAGTTGTTGCTGATGTAATCAAGCTTGAAAAGTGATCACTTGTTAATGGGTTAATGTTGATGGGTTTTTAATGGATTGGGAGGGAATTCATTTAAACCACCCCGCCCACACTGAAGGACAGGCCATGTTGATTCAAATTGTTCTGTAGAGGGCTGGTCAGCTTGCCCACAATCCTTGAAGGCACAAATCTAGACCAGATGTTCCCCAATCAGATGCATGTGTTCCACTTACAGTATCTTCTACACTGCTGTTCGGACGGTGATTGAGACAGATATATGTTATGTACGCTGTAACTTTTGTATAACAAAAAAAATATTAGCTTGTTCAGTGCATTCAGACACTTAAGTTAAACATTTTTTTGTACTGAATGATTTCCATCTGTAGTGTATGGACACACTACTCTCCAAGCAGAGGTTTAATGGTTTTGGCTCATTTTTGGAGTGTTTTTAGGCTTTTTTTAATCAGAGATTCTTTTTCACACTGAATTTTTTAACGCCCACCCAGCACACACATGTACAATATCTATTATCATGTGCCAATATCCTCTACAATCATGGAGCTTTGATGAAAGCTCCTTGCAGCCAAAGTGACAAAACTGGCCTCAGACAATTTGCCAATGCATCATCAAAACTAAAAAGTCTGCACCATACACGTTGCTGCATGTGCAATGAGTAATGTGTTCTACTAAGCCTGTCTTGTCTGGTCTACTCATATCAAATCATGCACCAGAGGACCCCTGCTGAAATCAGTATTGACACAAGGGAACCTGCCTGGAAGCCCCATCCCGACAATTAATTATCCACCTTTGACTATTTGGAATTTTAGGAGTTGTACAATGTAGGCTTGTAGTGACGAATGACTTGCTTGGGTTAAAGAAAGATGAAGTCCTTCGTACTTATTGAACTAAGGAAGATATGCAATTTGTGAAGTGAATGATTCTTTTCGAGGGAAGATCAGCCTGAGTGACCTAGTATTAGTACATCAGCCGATTGTGTATGTGTGTGTCATGCACCAGCTCGTGAATAGATGTGTTAAAAGCCGAGTTGTGTGTATAAAGCGGCTGATTGTGTATGTGTGTCGCATGCACCAGATTGTAAGTAGACGTGTGAAAAGCCGGGTTTTGTGTGATTCTGTATGTCTGTTTTATGCACCAAAATTGTGAGTAGATGTGTGAAAAGCCGAGTTGTGTGTGTACAGCGGCCGATTGTTTACGTATGTGTAATGCGTTTGTGAGTGGATGTGTGAAGAGCCGGATTGTGTGTGATTTTGTATGTGTGTGTCAATTGCACCAGGTTTGTGAGTAGATGTGTGAAAATCTGAGTCGTATGTGTACAACGGCCGATTGTGTATCTGTGTTTCATGCACCAGGTTGTGAGTAGAAGTGTGAAAAGCCGGGTTTTGTGTGATTCTGTATGTCTGTTTTATGCACCAAGTTTGTGAGTAGATGTGTAAAAAGCCGAGTTGTGTGTGTACAGCGGCCGATTGTTCACGTATGTGTAATACACCAGCTTGTGAGTGGATGTGTGAAGAGCCGGATTGTGTGTGATTACCTCCATGACATGTCATGGGGGTTATATTTTCCGTTGCGTTTATCTGTCTGTCCGTCTGTCCGTCTGTTGGTCAACAAGATAACTCAGGAACGCCTGGATGGATTGGTTTCATACTTGGTGTGTTGGTAGGGTTTGGTGAAAAATGGAAATGATTAGATTTTGGGCCCCCTAGTGGCTTCCCTTGGTAATGCAGCCTAACTTCTGGTTTTGATATCTCGCGATCTGGACATGCGAGGGTCATGAATTTTGGATGGTAGGTAGCTCATGTCCTCGGGAAGAAGTCACGTGAGTTTAAGCCCCCTGGCAGCTTGTTCTGGAACTGCAGGATGGTTTCTTTGAAAATCTTTGAGAGAGGATAACTGAACAACCGTTTGATGGATCATCATGATTTTTGGTATGTAGGTAGCTTAAGTGATGCTTGACATAATCGAAAAACAATTATGCAAATCAGGATCTAATTTGCATACTTAATGAGGAAATTCTATTAATCTGCTGTATTTAATATTAGGGCTATAAAACTCTATAGACATATGTTATTGAGAACGACAAGATCATTGGCAGATATCGATTATGTAAATGAAGACCTAATTTGCATAATAAATG